CCTCATGTGCCCAGGCCGCAAGATAAAATCAAGTCCGCGTCTGCCGCCCGTCGGCACGACGTGGACACGCCGAGGTGCACCACCAGCACAACACGCGCTCCGCCAGAGAAAAAGGCAGTGAGGGTACACGAAACGGGCGGGGGATATCGACTCGCGCCACGTCCACCTCTGCATCCGCTGATTCCAAACGCCGAAAAAGAAGAAATGGAGATGGAAATGAAATGAAAGGCCTGACGCATGAGTCCGGGTCGCGCCTAGTGTAAGGCACTGATCGATGTGTACGCACGAGCAGGATATATCTGCAGAGATTTCTCGTTGGCTGGTACATCACGAACGGGGCCTGAAACGAATAAAACGAGGGAGGGAGAGTGGATGGCGACGAGCACAGTGGGGTGGAGCGCGCGCAAGAAAAACAAAGGGAGAAAACACAACTCACCAGTTCCCATTAATCATTCCTCGTCCAAATCCCGATCTCGCGTCATTCACCTCCCGAAATGTCTACGTGTAAACATCTACTCATTCGTCGCGCTCGGGACACCCAACGCGGTGTGCACGATGTATGCAGGGTGCAGGACACCATGGATTATCTACGAATAAAGTTTAAGTTAGCACCGTTATGCAGGTGTGTGGGTGTGGGCGACGGGACCGATGAAAGAGGCTTTACTTCACTTCCTTCTCGCCCCCTTGCCTTCCGAAATTCTATAGTGAAAATCAGTAGATTGTCGACGTCTAAGCAAGGGCGATCTTCACAGAAGGCTAAGTAAAAGATGCGCGAAAGAGGAGAGGGTGAATGGGACGACGAATGCAAAGAAAATGAGAGAAGCAAATCCAAGACGAAGAATATACGCACCGCGAAGAACACATGTCCTCTGCGCGTTGACGGGAAATTGGGCGGAAGACGCAAGAGTGTGCGGAAAACTTGAGCACCCAACGATGAGGGCCGCCGTGGGCGTCGGGGCGTTGGGGAGGAAAACCTGTCAGCATGTGGGCGAGGAATAGAAGGAAGGGAATATGTGGGCGGAATGGAGAGGGAAGATGTGGCCACGGGAGGGAGCGTTACCGTCGCACCGCGCTTCCTTCTCGTGCCCAGCTTCGAAGGGAAGAAAAGCAAATGAAGCATGAAGTATGACGCACCCTCGAGCCAGTCCGAACTCCGAGTCGCGGTTGGCATGCATGCTTGAGGCCGGCGTGTGTACGCAGAAGAAATTTGGGCCCGAGGTAAGTGCATCTGCGGCAAGAATTGTTCGTTAGCTTCATCAGGCAGGGAAGAAATGAGGGAGGGAGGGAAGAAGGCAAACGCGGGGAGGAGGGTTGGGAGGCGAGACACAGATGTGCACGGACGTAGATGGAAATGCAGATACGCGTACGGCGGAGGAGGAGAGGAAACAAGAGAACACGACAGACCGAGAGCAAGTTTCCCAAAACTGTCCTCCCTCATGTTCCCTTCCTTTCCGAACGTCAACGCGAGGTAGATGAAGCGCAGGGATCGCCTCGGCGTATATGTAGCATGGAGCATCGAGGGCACGGTTTCCCGTTCCTGGTAAAGAGTGAGTTAGCAACTTTGCGCAGGAGTGTGAATGCCGGAGGCGAGGACGGGAATGGTCAAAGTAGAAGAATCGGTCTCACCATACCCCGTCTGGCTTGCTCCACTTCGCACTGAGGTACTGCCCTTCGCTCCCCTTCCTCAGCGCAAACATTGAGCTCACGAAATAAATTCGCGCGTAAAGTTTGAGGGGAGCCTCGCGCGATCGCGCGCGGTGCCGAACGCACAGGGAAGAAAGAAGTTCCGCAGGAAACCGTTGATGCGCACCAGCTCGCGCTGGGCGCGTATACACATATAGCGCCGTTTTACCGAGCGCCTTTCCCACGGTTCATCGAATCGGAGGGCGCCTCCGCAACTCGACGGCGCCTTTTCCGTGTACCATTCCGCAGAACCGCATGGTCTCCGTCTCCGTATCGATAACCCCTTTCGCTACTCGCTGAATTTCATAACGCTCCGCCATCAGTCCTCCGATCAATCCTCCGTTTCGCGCCCTCCGTTTCGCGGCGCGCTTTGTATTTATATCCTTTCGGCGGCGCCTTTCTACTTGGCGCCTTTTCAATTTATCTCCATTTCACGATAGCACTGCCTCCCTCTTTTACTATACAAACCCCACCTACTTTCCTGTATTCTCCAGTTTGTTGCCCACCAGCAATACATCTCACCTTTCGTATTTCGTACTTCGCCCTTCGGTCCCTCGTCGCCATCGATGCCCACCGCCTACGTCATGTCCTTCGTCGCCATCGTTCTGTCCTTCGTCGTCCACGTCCACGCCGCCGCATCCGCCACAGCTCCCATCCCGTTCCCTTGCGCGGCGTACCAGCCGAGTACTGAACATGGAGTGACCCACTCGCACCCCCGTTTCATGGTCGTCGGAGTGTTGAGTTTGATGTTTGTTGTGTCAGCTCACGCTCTCAGACGCGCCGTGAGCGCATCACCGTCAGCGGCGACACGAAGGATATAAGGAGACGCGGATGCCCGCGGTGGCACAACCCGCCCACGCCACACGCCAACGGTAGGGCAGGAGCGCGACCACGCGTCTCGCAGCCCTTGCTTGAGAAGAAAAAGACTTGCAAAACATACCGTGGTTCACTGCTGTTAGTTTCATTCCGCCGCTGCTACTTTGTGGTAATGATTCAATTGCGATCGTTGTGCGCGGCCTCGAATCAGAGGTCTGTCCACGACGTTTCGGAGAGGGAGAAGACCGGCCTCAAGGTGCGCGGGAAAAAAATCGGTGAATGGGCGGTTGAGACTGTGAGTAGTGGGAAATATGACTGGCGACGCGTTGATTCACTTTCGCAGCGTATCCAAAGCGCATCTCGCGTCCGAGCGCGTCGATTTTTTCGTGGAGTCAAAATCGAAAGGACTGCTGCATCGGCGAGTGGATTGGGAGTGAGTTCGCGGGTGCGGAGCCTCAGATACGCAGGCTGGTCGCAGAGTCGAAATGCTGAGCCTTTGGACGCGTCGTTTGGGCGTTGTGGTGGGAAGGAAGGAAGATTTCCGGATCAATCGGCCCGACTTCCTTCTTCCGTCCCACTCCGTCCCACCATCGCGTCGTTCGAGCCATTTTGCGCGCGACGGGGGATCTGGTTAGATGACGGATGCATGAGGCCTAAGGAGCGTGTTCTGCCCTTGTGGTTCAGCGCGCGCTGAGGAATTGTGGCTTCCTTCTCCACGCTCACCCTCTCCCGCTCGGCGGCCACTGGTGTTTACCAGCGCTCACCAGCGCTCACTCCGAACGCAATCCTTTGATTCCGGCCACACCGATGACCTTGTCTGTGAATCCTTGGACCTACTACGCCTTTTCCTGCCGTCCCGAATATCATTGCCTGCGCGCTTCCTCTTGTCACCGGCCCTGGACCTCTATCGACGAAATCTCGCTCTGCATGCTCCTGGAGGCCAATGCCTCTTCGCCTGTATGGGCGCTTTCGACCAGTACCTCCAGCACCACGCCGTTATTTCGACACACCAGTTCCGCATGCTCCGACGGACAGTGTATGGGATGTACGGGGCAGAAATGAACCAAACAGTACACGTACGTCTTCCACATATTCATCATTCAACTCACCTCGAGCTTCGATAGATACGCTCCCGCCCGATGGACCTGGATCGTTGCGCCGCCGCGCGTGCAAATACCTCCACGTCCGTGCGGTGCCTGCACACCGCAGTGAACGCTGCGTTCGAGCCATTTGGCGCGTTGCGTGGGGAAGCTGGTTAAATAACAGATGCCCACCATACCGGGTGCGTGGTCTGGCCTTGCGGCTTGGCCCCGCGCTGACCTTCTTCAATGTCCAGGCTCGCCCTTTTCCGCTCGCTTGCCCTCACTCCTCACTTAACCACCCCGCTTCTTCCGGTTCCGACAGCCGATGACTTTGCCTGTGCATCTTAGGAATACTTTGACCCTACATCCCCTGCCGTCCCGTTTCGGATGATGTCTGCGTATCCGTCCCTATCCCTCCCTCGATGATATGTTCTCTCCGCAATCCTGCTACTTCTCCCGCCGCCCCCCGTATTCGCCGCGTAGCCAAAATTGGCTTCTACCCACACCACACCGTGATTTCGACGCACCAGCTCTTGATTTCCACACACCAGCTGTGCAGCCTCCGACGAACGATCTTCTTGGTGATCCCGCCTTGTCCTGCCGCTCATTTCGCGCGTAGGCAAAAAGAATTCAGGCACATTGCGTCGTCTATCGAGCGCGATCCAATGTGACCGCAGGTACGTGTAACCTGCGTCCCTTTTCGACCCCCAATTGCCTTTCACCCTTTGAATCCGACACGAGCAGACAGATCTCGCTCAACCCCTACACCGTACCCCAGTCGGGCTTCGCCAGCCGATTCCCTTCCGCCCAACGGGCCCGATCGCGAGGGTGTGGGCAAGAATTCAGCACCTGCGTGCGTACTCGGGCTATCTTTTTTTCTCTGTGCTAACGGTACATTCGCTGGGCACCGCAACTCCGTTTTCTCCACGCACACACTCCCGTGCCTATTCTCAACTATCCCCGGCCACCCAGGCTGGCTCGGACTCGGAGGAGAGAGGAGAGAGGTGCATGCACGTCGTCCAAATTCATTATGCATTATTCACTCACCTTTCCCTGCACGGGCGGCCCATCCATAATTTGGACCCGCGGCGAAGATATAAGCACACCTGAAACGTCTGGCCGCCAACCGTATACCAAGAGTACATGTACTTTGTCCACCGATCCATAATTGTCTCTAATTTACCTCTAGGTTTGACGGAGACGCGCGCCGCCGCGGATGAAAATACCCATTCCCTCGCCAGCAATCCCGGCATGGCGTGGTTCTGTAGATATGGGTTCGTTGGCGTACCCTGGGTGCGCGCGCTGCGCTTTAAGCCTTTCTTTTCCCTTTGCGCGTGTAAGTAATACCTCTTGTCGCGGGACACTTGAAACTGAAAGCTTTTACTTTAAGAAGGGGCGCCCCACGCAGGATAAAAACAAGTCTTCGAAGATCAGCGGTGATCGTCGCGTTTCCCTGGACTCTAGGTACCTCACCGCGGGAAGGCGAGGGTTCGAGTCCCTCCGAAGACATGCGCGGAGGTGCTGATTGTTTTCGGTTGTTTTCGAACTCGGTTTTTACCCTGAACTCCGTTCGACGAAAGGAGAGGTACGAAATCGAGTTTTCTCTTGACTCTGATTTTGACGGCGGAGAACATTATTTTTTCTGCCGGCTTTAATCAGAATGGATCACTCGCAGGAAAAGGATGCAAACGTGAAACTAGGCGCGCGACTGAACAGTCTTCGAGAAACGGCCCCCACGCAGTGTACGAACAAGCCTTTGAGGATCAGCGGTGATCGTCCCGCTTACCTTACTGTCCACGATGTTTGAGGCGGGAAGGTGTGGGTTCGAGTTCCTCCGAAGAGGTGAGGTGCTGAAGGGATAACTGTTCTTTTGTGTTGTTTTGGAACTCGAGTTTTAACCTAAACTCTGTTAGACCAAAGCACTTAGCATGGGTTTCTGTGACTGGAACCACGTGCAAGCTCCTGGCACGCTGAAGACTGTCGAAGAAGGCCGAGCGAATAGAGTACAAGACCATGTATTCGAGGACTACGGTGCTTGTTATTAACCCTAAGCTGCTACCTGGAACTCTCGGGAGTGGCAACAATACTACATGGTGCCCTAATTTTTCTCGTGAAGTCAGCACGATCCACCTGGTCGAATTTGGCACTGATCACCGACGTAACGGCAACACTTTGTACCAAGAGGTTTATGCAGTTCTACTTCCGAGTCGCTGTCGACCACGACATGGGTCCACATTGTATATTTCAAGCGTTGAACGAATCGATCGCACGACCGATTAAATCTAACCAATTCTTTGGCTCGGAGGGCTTGCTTCAACGATGGGCGCGATTTCGGCCGAGTTGAACCATTTGGAAGTCAGAGCGGTCTCGGGAAACCGATTCTCAACTTCTGTCAGGAAAATTGAAGGAGCCGTGGAGAAATGGGATTTTTTTTTCCGTCAAACCTTACCCTGCTTCCGTTTGTGTAATGGGGACTCCACGGATGCAATCTTGTGAACCCCAGCATTCCAAGTGCTGCACAAATTAATTAGCGTGAACCATGTCTTGGATTGAAAGTCCTAGAGACTGAGCAAAATTTTGGGGAATTTGAACTCTCACACATTCTTCTGAGATTTAATCAAGATTTAATCACATATTTATAGCCGGTGACAAAAATCTCCTTGCTTCCCTGACATTCATCGTGTGAAAGTGCATGCTGTCCTCCACGAGGCCCCCTGGCTACCACTCTCGTCTTTTACCCCCACACCCACTGCACACAGATACATCCCCTCATCCCTTCTGTGAGCGTCCCCCCTTTCTGTTGTGTGACCTTCAGTTGTGGCTCACATAGTGCTCATGCAGAAGATCGGTGATATACAGACCCATTTTGACAATGTTCAGAGAGGGGAATAACATCAAGACTGTGAATGTTTTTGGTGTGTAAGGAACCTGATTGAGATGTTATTATCATAATCTGTCCACAGGAGGCACAGGAGGCAGAGGAGGGGAGGGTGGCATAGGTGGTGGTAACGGGGGCCAAGGGCAGGGTCCCATACTGCACTTTAGTGGAGTTCAGAACTTGACAAGTAATGTGTATGTTTGCAGTTTTTCCCCCTCAAAGTTCTTTCTCAACAAGAGTAGTGTAAACCAGGGTCAAGGGTTATTCAAATTTCCACGTTGAATACTTCGGAAGCTAAATTCTGCCTAGACTCACAGAACTTCTCTACAAGTGGTTGGATTCTCCTCCTACCACGAAGGACAGACAGCATGAGCTGCGAAGACTTTGTCATGAAGACACTGGGAGCTGGTTCTTACACCATTGGCAATTCATCAAATGGAAAACCACAGCCAGCTCTTTGCGGATCAAAGGCATCTGTAAGTCAATTTTATTCAATTCCAATTTACAATTCCATGTTTGAGTAATTGTTTCTAGCTGGTACCGGAAAGAGTGTACTAAGGTAATTTGTATCACTACTGAATACATAACATTAATATGCCACTGACAATCGAGACAGCTCGACAGTGATTGAAAACATCACCATGGGCTGTCCTGACCGGACCGCAGTTGCATTTTTCTACTTTGATTTTAGGAATGAGAGGCAGCAGATGGACCTCATGTTGCGCTCTATCATCTGGCAGCTCTCTGGACGGTTGCCCTCTCCCTATCACTCACTTGATCAGCTATACAAAACACTGGGAAATGGAACTATACAGCCCCAGCATGTCCATCTCCAAGGAGTCCTTGAGGATTTACTTTTAGAGCTAGACCAGACATATATTGTCATTGATTGGCTCGATGAATGCAACAAGACCAACTGGAAGCACCTTATCAAGTTCATTCACAGTCTATGCAACCCTGCCAAAAGTGCATTGCATCTCCTCTTTACTAGTCAACCTGTCCAGGAATTCCAAACAGCATTCAAGGATGTACCCTTCATCGAGCTTGGTTCCTGGGTCTCAAATAATGATATCAGATCCTTCCTTAGCAGCAAAGTTCCTGGGATCAGAAAATGGATTACAGATCACAAGTCTGGCAAGGTCATGCAGCAAATTGTGGAGAAGAGCGATGGAATATTGGTCCTCTCAGTGTGCTTTATCTTGTCCTCAGGCTAACTGCATATCCAGGTTTCGCTTGGCCGCCTGTCTCGTCCTTGAACTAGGTCGTTGTCATGAAGACCAATGGCAGGAAACCCTCAAAGCTCTCCCCAATACTCTTTTTGGGATTTACAGTCGTTCTTAACCCAGGCAAAAAGTTCTCTTGAGGAGGCTTTTATTCAAGCAATTTTACGGTGGCTTCTGTTTTCTGCCAGACAGGTTACATCAGAGGAGCTGGCAGATGTTGTTTCATTCCGCCTGTCAGACACCAAATTTGATTTTTCAGACCTAGAAAAATCGATCTATTACCCCACAAGACGTCAGGACAACTTGGATGATTTCAAATCGTTAGAGGGCCTGATCGTGATCAAAAACGAGGGCCGGCATAACTCAATCGCCTTTGCACATTCATCTGTCAAGGATTATATCCTTTCCTCAGAGTTCCGGCGGGATTTCGCAATGATTGATGTTACAATAGATGCCTGCCACAAGTTTATTACTCAAACTTGTGTCCGCTATCTCCTCCTTTTTGCAGACCCCAAACATCCAATGACCAAGGAAACATTCAAAGACTACCCAATCTCATTGTATGCAGAGCATATTGGTTCCATCACCTGCAGCTTTGCGATGAACCAGACCAGAAGGCATTACTACCTTTACGAGTCTTTTGATTTATCAAAAACTCGTTATTTGTCATCGATTTCATCGCCAACTGAAACTGGTTTTTCACATATGACGTAGTGTACATGAGTAGTCAACATTGTAACAACTCAACAGTTGAAGCTGCGGTTTACTGTGTTGGTTAACACTTTCTATTCAAAAATCCTGGCGTTCCGCAGTTATGTCCGACCTGCAGTTGATGTCGGGCTGTAAGGTTGTGGGTTGTGTCGAGGTTGCACAAATTTGGCGGTTGTCAAACAGAGCGGGCGGGAAGAAAGTCGGTCCCTATATTGCATGCATCACAACATCAATGTAAAGTCTCACGGTTCGAATTTATGGATCGAGAGAGAACGATTACCTTGTGTGCAATACCTTGTGACTCATCCTGCTTCAGAGTTTGATTCAATGGCAACTAGCTCAGTGGGGCAGGAATCATATGCTTTTCTTTCTTTTCTTTTCAGGGCATTTGGAGTAATGGCTTTAAACTCAGTCTGCAAAACCATTTCAAGGCATCCACTTAATTGCTGGTGATCAGTCAGATGTTGCTGGGGAGTGTATCCATGAGGAAATGCCGCTACGCAACAAGACCAGCGTGGGGGAATAATATGTACCCAATCAATCAGTTACTGACCGTGAGGTGGTTACTGAGTACAAACTTTGGATGATTGAAGGTTTTCATCCTCTTTATATCCTGTACATCCAGAGTCAGAACGACTCATGCCCGGGTCCGTGTCGAATGTCATTTTGCAACACCGCAATCAGTATGACTCCTTTGACAACCGATGAGGGTTGACATGACCCCGCGGTTAACAGCGTACCAATTTAATGTGATAGATCCCTGGTCGAAGGATAATTTTCCCAATTTGAATTAAGAGGTGGACTGAACAATACTGGGTGAGGCCGAGCCGACCGCAGGTCGGGCGAGCGCCGAGCCATCATTTAATCTCATCTCAATCTGCATCCCTCGAAGTCTACAAATGCATGGAAAGAGAAATGAACAATTGGTCATGGTATGATTGGGGCAAACAGGCTTTGCCGCCGCCCGCGTCAGGTCAGCACGACGGTGACACAGCACAAGAATTGGTTCAAATTAGCTTTGAGGGTGTGTGCTAACCGTTAATAAATTATACTAAACTGTTATAAACTTGGGATAGCGCTGAGAAGTGTACAATCGAGTGTAATTTCAGGCAAAGCATCAACAAATTCAAAATAAACAGCGACATAAATCGATACCACACCAAAGTTAATGAAATAAAATTGCATCGCTGCGTCAATTGAACCAGTTTATGCTGAATCCGCTGAGCGAAGGCGTGGGATCCCGGTTCGGGTAAACTTGTCTTGAGGTGGGGATTTGTGATACCGGTGTTTGCAAGGCAGTCCTGGTTACGATTTGCGGGTTACGGTTGAATTCAGGAGGGCACCAGTCTTTGTTGAGGGAGCACGGAGAGACCGGGGAAAGTCTGTTAGCAATTTGTCTTAAATCTTGATTCATGTTTTTGAAGGTCTTGATTCAGGAGAGCGGACACAATGTTGAGGGGAGAAGTGGAGAGACTCAGTGAGTCAGAGTCGGGGGGATGAGTCGGCGGGACGGTGGGGGATTTATATCGTGCAGCTGCGGGCTGCGGGGTAGGAATCTCGCAGTTGAACAGCCTTCTGAGGGAAACTTTTCCCACCGGCTTGGCGGATTCGCTGTACGGGCTTGGATTGCAGCTGGGCTTGAGTTGCACTCCCTTACACCCCTGAGGTAGGCTATCCAGTATTTCCTGCACAGCAGT